TTCTGGGCAGCCCCAAAATCTTAGAAAATGGAATAAAAAAGTCTCCGCTGGCGTCCGGCTCCCGCGGCCACACCTGGGGACAAGGGACAGCGCTGGGGACCCGCGGGGGGGGGGAGGAGACACCTCCTGTCCCTGTCCTGTCCCAGCAGGGCCACCCTGCCCGTGTCACTGTCCCCGTTCCTGGGTGGGGGCCGGGAGTTTCCCAGAGGTGTCCCAGTGCCATCCCAGTGTCCCTGTGCCATCCCAGTGCCATCCCAATGTCCCAGTGCCATCCCAGTGCCATCCCAGTGCCATCCCAGTGCCATCCCAGTGCCATCCCAGTGTCCCTGTGCCATCCCAGTGTCCCAGTGCCATCTCAGTGTCATCCCAGTGTCCCTGTGCCATCCCAGTGTCCCAGTGCCATCTCAGTGCCATCCCAGTGTCCCTGTGCCATCCCAGTGTCCCAGTGCCATCTCAGTGCCATCCCAGTGTCCCAGTGCCATCCCAGTGCTATCCCAGTGTCCCTCAACTGTCCCAGTACCCTGTCCCATTGCCCCAGCCCGGTGTCCCAGTGCCCGCAGCGCCCCTGCCCAGCGCTCCCAGTGCCCCCAGTGTCCCCTGTCCCCAGCTCTCCCAGTGTCCCCGGTGTCCCCTGTCCCCCCCAGTGTCCCCAGCCTCACCTACTGCCCGCTGGCCGCGCTGGCCCCGGGCTCTCGATGGCTCCCGTCCTCCGCCCGCCCGCGCCGCGCGGTCCCGGGGGTCCCGGCCCGGGGGGTCCCGGCCTGGGGGGTGCCATCCCCGGGGGTCCCTGCGGGTGTCACAGCACGGGGGGTGTCACCTCAGCGTCCCCCGCTGTCCCCGCAGCCCCTCCCCGAGCCCCCCAACTCACGGTGGCCGCTCTGGGGCGCGGCCAGCGGGCAGGAGCCGCCGGGGCTGTGGCGGTGCTCGGGGTCGCCGCGGTGGCAGCGGGCGGTGGCCGCCACCTCTTCGTCGTCGTCKCCGCCCTGCGCCTGCTTGAGGTGATGCTCCACCATCATCTGCAGCTCTGCCGGGCAGGGAGCGGCGCTGGGGGGGCGCGGGGGGCCCTGGTGACCGTCCCCACGCTCCCGGCGACACCGCGGCCCCCGGTGGCTTCTCGTGGCCCGGAGCGAGGTCAGCGCGGGGGGGTGGCACCAAGTCCCCCAATGTCCCCAGC